CCTATCCCCACAGGGAGAAGAGGTTCAAAAATGTCGTGATCAAAAAAATGTCAAACACGGGATGGAGAGATGGCTCAGTGGTTAAGAGAACTGACTGCACTTCCAGAGGTCCTGAGTTCAAATCCCAGCAACCACATGGTGGCTCACAACCATCTGTAATGATATCTGATGCCCTCTTCTGGTGTGTCTGAAAACAGCTACAGTGTATTCATATATAATAAATAAATTTAAAAAAAAATGTCAAACACTATCCGCTCTGACGTTAACCCGACCAAGTCTTCTGGAGTTTCCCTGGCACTCGCAGACCCTATGGCTAACTGTCTCTGCCTCTGTGTTTTTCTTCAAGGAGTTGTTGATCCCAGACGGGCACAAACTCCCTTCTTGGTGCTTGAAGGACAAGGGAGTCTGGAGGAAGAGGGCGAGGAGGGGGAGGAGGCAGCGGGCAGGGAGTGGAGGGAGAGAAGGTAGAAGGGTATTTACATCTTGCATGAACTTGCGGCAGACAGGGCGGATCTCTTTGCTCAAGGTAGCACTGGACATCATGACCTGCTTCTCATGGGGGGTCATGTGAAAAATTTCCTGGACATCCCGACGCATGTCTGCAAGAAAAAAGTTCACAGAAGAAAATGAGTCCGTGACTTAATTCTGGTGAGGCCAATGAAACTCTGAGGGAAGCCACTGCAGAGATGTGGCATTTCCATGATCTCAGGAACAAGCCAGGCTCTGTGGCACATGCCTGTAACCCCAGCACTTAGGAGGTCCTGGCTGGAGGACCAGGAGCAATGTATACTAGTAACAACATGGAGTTAGGAACGCGCTTAGAAAAAGACTTGGGGTCAAGTTCCACTCCTGTGTTCAGACAAGACATTGACCGAACCTAAAGTCCAAATTACAAAATGGGGACCAAGCTCCCCAGAGGCTCAGGGAACAGTGGCCCTTAAATATGGAGTATGATGCTGGGCAGAAGTCCAGCAGTTAAGGGAACTGGCTGCTTTTACAGAAGACCCACATTAGGTTCCCAGCTCCCACAACTGCCTGTAACTTAGCTCGGGGTGTGTGTGTGTGTCAATGCCTCTATCCTCCTCTATGGGCACAATTATGCATGCATACACACACACATTTAAAAATAATAAACTTAAGTCTGTAATCCCAGAACTCAGGAGATAGGTAGGCAGATCTCTGAATTTGAGGTCAGCCTGGTCTCTAACATAACAAGTTCCAGGCTAACCCGTGCTACACAGTAACACCCATACATACATAGTGTCTCCAAGAAAACACACACACCTCTGAAGGCCCTTTCCCGAGCTGCTCTCCCTACGCCCGTCTCAGAAGCTCCGGGTAAGTGATGGGGATTTTCTCTTTGGCCTTGGAACAACAGAAGCATCGGGCAGGATACAGATGAAACAGAAATCTAGAAAACAGAGCTAAGGAGCCCTCCTGGGTTTGAGGAACTCAAGAGAAATGCAGACTAGCTCAAAAGCATGACACATAGAAAGACATTTCTAAAGTGCTGGCAGTTTAGTTGTAGAATCGGGCTTGTAACAGATATTTCCTATATGGTTAAGAAAATAAAAGTTTCCTTGTTGAGCTGATTGTTTTTTACCATAGATTATGCCTCCCATGTCTATATTTGTATAAATATTAGTTAATTTAAATGGTTACAGGCCTATGAGCAGGACTTTGGTCTCCTGCAATACAGAGCCATCCACAATGCAGAGCAACAACAGGTTTATGAACAGGACTTTAAGGCAGACTATGCTGAATACCGCATCCTGCATGCCCAAATCAGGGCTGCAAGCCACAGGTTCACTGAGCTGGGAATGGATACGAAGATTCCAGAGAGTTAACTCCAGAACCGAAGTCGCTAAAAGATAAGATAGTCCAGGACTATAAAGGATTAAGTGGGCAGTACCTAAGTTACAGGAGAGAGAAATATTGCTTTTCTTGAAGTGGACATTTCTGGGTTTTTTTTTGGAAAGTTAGTTATGTCAAACTATGTTTTCTGAAGTAGACACATGGAAGGACACATGATGTTTAGAAGGAATATAAATAAAACTCAGCAGACAGTAGATGAGGCTGCATGGTATTGGTAAGCCTTACCATTGTTTATTGGTCATCATTTCTCGTGACTCCATAGAGAGAAATGCACCAAAAAACTTCTGGTGATGTTCTGGCAGCTTCTTGCTGCTTCTGCAGACTTAGGCTGATTGGCAGAGTGAAGTGGAAGTTTCTGGATATGCCAGCTGATACAGACTCAAGTGGAGTTTTGCTAAGACAGACTCGTGTGGTGTTTTCCTGAGGCAAGACTCATGTAAGGCAAGAGTCCTGTGTGGACCCATGAAGCTTGAGGGAGTATAAATTAGACACAACAGCCAGTGATGGCTGGCTTGCACAGCTGACTTTGCAATGCTTTGTTGGTCTCAAGTCTTCATCTTCCCTGATCTTCACTTCCTTGAGAGAGTCATGCCAGAGAATGCCTTCTGGAATCCCTGGTGGTTCTGGTATCTCCTGCAGACTCGAGCTGATTCAGTGGAGGCCTGGCTGTTTCTCCTGGGTTGTGCCACAGCTGATGATTCGTGTCTGCTATCCTGACACTTACTGACTTGGAGTGCTGGTATCCTGTCAGTTGGAGATTGTAATTTCCCCAAGGAACTACTTCTAAACAGCAAACAGCTGAGCCTCCTGTCTTCCTCAGGTTTGAGCTACTGTTGCTGATTCTTGTGAACTGAACTGTTGATATCCTGACAACACACTCTGGATTTGCTCCAAAGACTAATTTCTAAAGATTTATTTAGTTTTTTTATATTTATTTTTATGAGTACCAGCTATCTTCAGACACATACTAGAAGAGGGCATCGGATCCCATTACAGATGATTGTGAGCCACCATGTGGTTGCTGGGAATTGAACTCAGGACCTCTGGCAGAGCAGTCAGTGCTCTTAACCACTGAGTCATCTCTCCAGCCCAAAAGACCCATTTCTAAACAGGTCTTCTTTCTTCCTATCTGATAACCTTTTTTTTCCAGTACTTCTGGTGGGTGGTGGGCTAGAAGGGAGATAAAGCATTTAAGAACCCTTATTAAAAACAGGTTTTGAAAAATATAAACAGGCTGGGCAGTGGTGGTGCACGCCTTTAATCCCAGCACTTGGGAGGCAGAAGCAGGTGGATTTCTGAGTTCGAGGCCAGCCTGGTCTACAGAGTGAGTTCCAGGACAGCCAGGGCTACACAGAGAAACCCTGTCTTGAAAAAAAAAAGAAAGAAAAAGAAAAAAAGAAAAAAGAAAAAAATAATCTCAGCTGTAGATGTGCTCCTGAGAGATGAACAAACAGATCACACCAGACACCTGAGAACCCTAGGAAAGACACTGGAAAGAAGAAGCAAAAACCACAACAGTAGCTACAGGGAGTGCCCAGGGCAGCACAAGACTGCATCATTAGTAGCTAAAACAAACGGATGGGAGAAAATATAGTGTGACTTATCTTGTGAATCCGGCACATCGAAGGATCCCCACTGGGGTCTCTGATCTTTATCCCTGGAGACACAGAATCCAGGGAACAGGACCAGGCTCAGGGTCTCAGGTATAGGATGTGATCTGTCTGTTCATCTCTCATCCCTGTGTCCTTGTGATCACAGACTCTCAGCCTGTGCTTCATAGTGATGGAGAGAACAGAGCCCTGAGGTGACACAGCCCAGGAGTGACCCATCAAAAATAACTGACTCCACCTGGGAACAGCCCTGTTCACACTCAGCTCCCACAGCCTCATCTTATCCCAACAGATACACACAGCTTAGTGACACAGATTCTAGAAGGTTCTCCATCTGCCATTAATTTCTTCAAAAATACTCTAAGTGTTCTTAATCCATGAAATTAACAAGCAATCAACCCTCAGGTCAGGATGTTAACAATCAAGTTCACATTCAGATTCTTATTCTCAGTGTGGAAGTGAGGAGCTGCAGCTCAGGGCAGCATGGAGCTGACAGGATGCAGATGTCCCCCAGTGATTGGCTGGACCAGGAAGGTTGGCTGAGGAAGGTTGATGGGAACACAGGCAGTACAGGGACAGGGTCCTAGTGTGCAAGGGTGGACTGAGCTCCCCACTTATTCACACTGAGCCAATAGGCTTACAGGGAACTTCAGATACTGTTGTCTAAAGAGAACTGAGGGCTCTGGACGTCACAGGAGAGACCTGAACACAGTGTCTGTCACTCAGTCAACTCCAGGCTGCTGTCTTCATGCTAAAGAACGAGAGTCATGAACCATCACTGTGAAGTCAACATTCCAACAACCTACCACTCACAGGGGATTCTGGGAGTCCCTGAAACCAAATCATGTCCACATTGCCCCTTCCCAAGCAGGCCCCAGAGTGTCACCTTTACAATCTGGGAGAGATATATCAGAGGTCTGGGAGCTGTCCTTGCCTAGGGTAAAACAAAACAAATGTATATTATGTGTATGTGTATGTATTCATATCAAGATAAAACTCTGTCCCCCAGAAGGTTTCTCTGGAGGAGCTATTATGGATTCCCAGATCTCCCATCATCCCCAGCTTCACTCCAATGGCCTCAGGACAATCCTGTCCCCTACACTAACCTGGATCTGGAGCATAGTCTCCTCCTCTTCCACCTGAAAGAAGAAAAGCTGTGAGAGTTCAAGGAAGATCTTGACACTAGGAAGTTCCCAGAACTGACAGCAAACCCTGTTGGAGCCAGCAGCAAATTGAGGTGTGGCTGTCTTTCCCATTAATGAGCAGAGCACACTTCTAAAGGAAGCTGAGAGAAAACTCAGACCCTGCCCTTTCCTCTCCTCTTTCTTCTCTTCATTACAAAAGCCACCACAGCTCCAATGATGGCCACAGCTCCAAGGACAACCAGAACAGCAATGATTATCATGTTTGAATTGGTGGATGGAGGAGGCTCTGGGAAGGACAGGGACAGGAAACCAAAGTGAAGGTCATGACCCCAGCTCTCAGCCCTGACCAGTTCAGGGTATGCAGAAGGTTTCAGCTATCCCTGACCCCAGCTCTGCACCCACACCCTCCTTGCCCCATCTCAGGGTGAGGGGCTCAGGCAGACCCTCATGGTACACATGGCAAGTGTAACTCTGCTCCTCCCCAGAAGGCACCACCACAGATGCCCACTTCTGGAAGGTTCCATCCCCTGAAGGCCTGGTCTCCCACAAGCTCCATGTCCTGGGTCCGCTCCTCCCCATTCAACTGACAGGTCAGAGTGATGTCAGCAGGGTAGAAACCCATGGCCCAACACCTCAGGGTTACATCACCTTCTTGTCTGGGGTGATGGGTCACATGTGCCTTTGGGGGATCTGTGTGGAAAATTCAAGAAATCCCACAATTAACTAGACAAACTGAAATCTACACAAGAATCAGTTAAATCAATGATGACACTGAACTGAGTGTCTGTTTGACATTTCAACTGTCATCACACTAGTGATCTGCAGGTAGAGCTGGTCCCCTCAGCACAGAACTGCACATGACCCTGGGGGACTCAGAAGCTAAGAGGGAATTCTCATGAGCCAGTGGGTCAACATGGCCGTCCTTGTGTGATGCTCTACAGCATGAGATGGAAGTCATAGAATGAAA